AGAGAGAGAGAGGTTTCGTAGAACTGATAGTTGAAGATTGCAGTTCGACCATAGTTTTTTGCACAAACCAAGCTAATCCTAAAACTATCTACATAAAGATATTACTAGAATAAATTTGATCAAACATTAGAAAGAAAAAACCAAAAATTACTCCACCTTTGTCAAATAAAACTTTCAGGTTATTTCATATAGAAAAGAAAAAGAAAAACTCACCATTTCTTACAAAATCTTCCTTTAGTAGTCTTACATGCCCTCTCTGAAAAAACAGAGAAGCAACTGATGATACATGGCCTGTTTAATGAGCTCCATAAATTCTATTTCATTACACGTAAAATCCCACCGCTCTCTCCCTCACAATTTTTTATTACACCTGTAGAATCCCACCTCTCTCTCTCTCTGTAAATACTTTACTACACCTGTAGAATCCCAACTCATTGAAATCCGGTTGTCTGCCCATCCTCTCTCTCTCTCTCTCTCCCTCCGTGAGGATGACCAACTCCCCTTGCTCTCTTGAATAGATTTGGGTTAATAAATCACGTCTCTCCCCACCAAAATATTTGATCACATCAGGTTGTCACCTCCTTTTTCTTTTCTAGTAGAGAAGCCAAAAAGACATGGCATAACTTGGACAAAGGAGGGAGGACATGAGAAGACCCACTGAAAAGTGTCTCCCAAGGTTTGTCTGTGAGTTCGAATGCAACCGTTTCCAAATTCTCTCTCTTATCAGTAGAGTCCGGTAGCTTCCCATACATAGCTTTGTACCCGAATGGCTCTACAGAATAAAATAAAACACACAATGATTGAACCCATAAGATAGAAAACATATGGCAATCTCAAAAAATTACAGAAAAATAAAACATACAGTTCATTCCACCTTAAAAATAATAAAAAACCCCACCCCACGAAAAGAAAAGGAAGATACAATGGAGATTTGTCATCTACGAGTAAGGAAAATGACCAAGAATCTGAATTCAATTTAATCAAAAAATCAAAAAAAGAAGAAAAGAAAACCAGACAAGTTGCATAAATTTCAATGCATCCAAATGACCAAAATTATACTGAGCGTTGGAACATCATGATATTCCAAAATTGTCAAAAGTTATCAAGTTTGGAAGGAACACTCACTGTTTCAAGGCAAAAACGAGACCGAAATATCCTTAAACTAAATGCCAATCATGAAGGTGTAGACTCAAACCATTTTAAACTCACTGAAAAAAGATATTCACCAGTTTATACAAGGAAGGCTGTTGCGATGAAGACAAAAAAATGACCAAATTACACTTTCTAGGGAAAAACGGAAAAAGAAAAAGAACACCCCCACACGGACTGAGTTAGCCACAGTAGCTAGGACCCCTGTTTCTACTTCAGTGAAGTCTCTCATTTTCAAGGGAAAAAGACCAAACAAACATGAATTGCCATGGTAGATAAGGACTGACCTTCATTCTCTAAGGGGTGGTACCAGTCATGGGGTTTGCTGGTTGTATCGTCTCCACTGTTGAAGGGATTAAAGACTATGTATTCGTGATCCCCATTCAAATACACAAGCCTCGTTGATGACTTCCCGTCTATTTTTCCATTGGTAGTGTTCTCTGTTTTGGTGAAATGGTCTTCTTGTAAGAAGGCAAGCCCGCCTCCCTTGGCCTAATAAGAATCAAAAGAGGGGAAGAGACGGAGAGAGCAAGCGAGAGAGAGAGAGAGAGAGAGAGAGAGAGAGAGAGAGAGAGAGACAACTAAATTAAATAATTATCTACTTACTAAGTAAAGTAGGACGACGACAGTACGTACCTACTAATAATGATGTAGTAGGTATTAACGTTAACAAAAAAGAAAAAAA